CTGGGCAGCCTGTCCCAGGGCTCTGGCACCCGACAGAGCCCTGTTGGGTGACAGAGAACTCATTCTCACTGACATTTCTGGTTTTAAACTCCAAACAACAGCAACACAGGAGCAAAGCCTGTGGTCAGAGCACGGCAGCCAAGCCCAAAACCCACGTGCTGAGTTCACCTACCACGACCATTCCGTAGTGGATGTGGGCCAGGGTGAGGAAAGCAGTTAACAGGTAGAGGAGGAGCGTTTCGCTGTTCGGCGCGAACCCGGACATCACCACCAAGAGCACAGCAGCTATGGGGAGCAGCATCCAGTTCAGAGGCTGGCAGCGTGTGCTGCTCATCTGGCAGACGATCAGTTGGCACTGCAGGAGGAGAAAGTTGTCAGAGCTTGTACCCAGTATCGACTCTGCAAGCCCAGAGCTGTCCACAGCACAGAGAGGACGGTCACACGTGTACATGTACCAACCATCTGTGCCATCATGCAGGTTCCCCAAGTTTCTCACTCGGGATCTTTATTTGCATCAGAATTCCTGTGGGACACAGGGAACAAAGCCCTGCAGGGCAGGTGGATAATATGGAAAAGGACATCAAGAGCATCTTCAAAAGTAAAAGGAGTTCCCTTGAGCTGAAAGGAGGGTGGAGAGAGGTGGGGGTGGGTCTGTTCAACCAAGGCCCAAGGGACAGGACAAGAGGAAATGGGCTCCAGTTGTGGCCAGGGCAGTTGAGATGGGATGTGAGGAAGAATTTCTTTGCTGAAAGGGTTCTGAGGCATTGGAAGGGGTTGCCCAGGGCAGTGGTGGAGTCCCCATCCCTGGAGGGATTGAAGAGTCGTGTAGACACAGTGCTGAGGGACATGGGTTAGTCATAGGGGACTGGTCAGTGTTGGGTTCATGGTTGGACTCCATGAGCTTCAAGGGCTTCTCCAATCCAGGCCATTCTGGGATTCTGTGACCAAGCCATCCCAGTGTCATCTGCACTATCAGCAGAAAATCCTGCCAAGCAGCAGCATGAGCTGCTGGATCCAGAGCACGGACACACAGAGCTGCACAGCCACACGTCTGAGGTGACGAGCACAGGTGCCTTTGTTAAGAGGAAGCAAAAATGCAAAACACAGCTAAATTGCTTTTTGAGAAAAGCTTTAGTCCCCCTCACTTTAAGTTCATCCCAAAAAGGAACTCCTTTTGTATCAGCAGTTTGCTCTTCACAGAATCCCAGAATGGCCTGGATTGGAAAAGCCCTTGAAGCTCATGGAGTCCAACCATGAACCCAACACTGACAAGTCCCCTATGACTAACCCATGTCCCTCAGCACTGTGTCTACACGACTCTTCAATCCCTCCAGGGATGGGGACTCCACCACTGCCCTGGGCAACCCCTTCCAATGCCTCAGAACCCTTGCAGCAAAGAAATTCTTCCTCACATCCCATCTCAACTGCCCTGGACACAACTGGAGCCCATTTCCTCTTGCCCTAAGTTATCCTATATTTTTCTTCCTGCCTCCCAAGCGTCCTGGCAGGTTTCACACTCTCCAGGGGATCAACTGGAGCATAAAGCAAAAGTCACTTACAGAAATATTAGCGAAGGCTGTTCCAACCATGAAATAGAAGAGCCTGGGATGGACCTCCAGGATGTCTGTTGGAGACACGAAGATCCACGTGGTGCAGAGGAGGAAGAGCAGCACCGGGGATACCAGTGGCAGCAGGATTTCGTACACAGAGTGGTGCTTCAAGGTGTTGTTCTTATAGGCCCTGAAATGCAAGAGAAGAAATTAAAACACATGGAATCACGGCTGAGAAATACCTGTTCCCTGCCTTCAGGAGAGGGCTGCAGAAGCTCATTGGCCATTCTGCTCCTCAAAACCACTGATATTGGTCATAAATGGTCAAGAGGAGGAAGATGGACACCTTCATCATCAACCCAACCCCCTCATAACTCCTGAATCGCAGAGGCACCTGCTTGTCTGTGGCTCTCTGGGTTGTGTCCAACAGGACAAGCCCACAAAAGCTGGAGGTCCTTCTGTAAGACCCTGCTGAGCAGGTTGCCAGCCCACTCCTCCCAGTGTACCCTGCAAACTGGGACCTTCTGGTGTGTCCGAGCTGCTTTGCAATACTGAAAAGAGTTGTCTGAAAACTACAAAGGAAACCGAGTTCTAAGAGGTTTTGGGAGACAACATGGTCCCCTGTTTAGTGGGTGAAGGAAGGGCTGTGGACATTGTCTATCAGGATTTCAGTAAAGCCTTTGACACCGTTTCCC